TTCATTTGGATCCACACATGGGTACTAAATAAGTAGGTCTTGAATTTAGTTGATTTTCATAGTTTTGTATTTTCCTTAAAGAAGTACTAACCATAGTTGTATATTCTTCAATCATAGCAATAAAAAACAGTAAGAATTTGCCTATTTTCCTCAATTTCCTCAACTGTATTTGCCTCAGTAAAATGGAAATAATGATATGAGCTAGCTTATAGGGTTGTGAAGATCAAGCAAGATAATATTTGTAAAATCTAACATTTATATAGCACTTTAAGATTTATAAAGCACCTATATATTATCTAATTTGATCCTCACACAAAGTAGTTACTTCAGGTATCAATATTTCCATTTTATAGCTAATCAGTCAACAAACATTTATTAATCACTGTGTGCCAGGCACTGTGTTTAATTCTGAGTGTACAAAGAAAAAGCAAAATTAGACCCTGCCCTTGAGGAGCTTCCATTCTAATAGGAGAGACAACATGTCCATAGGTATATACAAGATACATACAAAATAGATATAGAGTAACCTTAAAGGGGACAGCACTAGCAGCCGGAGAAACCAAGGAAGGCCTCCTGGAGGAGGTGGCAATTAATGTGACTCTTGAAGGAAGCCAGGTATTCCAAGAAGTGGAAGGGAGAAGGGAGAGAATTCCAGTCATGATGTCCAGGCAAAGGCACAGAGATAGGGGATGAAAAGCCTTGTGTGAGAACCAGCAAGCTCATCAGGATGGCTGGAGTGCCGATGGCATGGATAATGAGTGATGTATAAGAAAACTGAAAAGGTAGATGGGAGGGGGAACCACGTTTTGAAGATCTTTAAATGCCAAACATATATAAGGAGCTTATATTTGGTTCTAGAGGTAATGAGAGATCACTGGAATATACTGAGTAATGTGGTCAGACCTGTGCTTTAGGACATCATTTTGGCAGCTGGATGGAAGATGGATTGGAGAGGAGACAGGGAAACTACTAATCCAGAGGAGAGATGAGAAGGAACCCAACTAGTAGCTATGTATGTACAGATAAGGGAAGGGGATGGATGAGTTGTGTTGTGGTGACAGAAACAAGATTTGGCAATTGGTTGGATATATGGGGTGGGTGAGGAGTTGAGGATGATACCCAGGTTCTGAATCTGGGTGACTAGAAGAACGATGGTGCTTTTCAGAGTTATGTTGGGAATTGGGGTGGACTGAGGTGGAAAGGTGATCAGTTCTGTTTTGGACACGTTGAGTTTGGATGGTTATGATGGTTAATCCATTTAGAAATGTTGGATCAGCTGTTCATGATGTGGGATTAGAGCTTAGGAGAGAGAGACTGGAATTGGATATACAGATCTATGAGTCATCTATATAGACATAGTCATTGAACCCATGGGAGCGGATGAGATCACCAAGTGAGGTAGTATAGACAACAGAAGAGGGCATGGGATAGAGCCCTGGGGTTGACCTCCATTTGGTGGGCATGACATAGATGAAGATCCAGCAAAGGAGACAGAGGAAGAGTGGTAAGACAGATAAGAAGAGAACTGGGATTGAGCATGAAAATCTGGAGAGCAGAGAGTGTCCAGAAAGAGAAGGTGGTCAACAACATCATGTGCCACAGAGAGGTCATCCAAAGGTCAGAGAGGTGACTTGCTTATGTTCACAATTCTAATAAGTATCAATGATAGGATTTAAACACACGTCTTTACTGATTCAAAATACAGTATTCTTTTCTGTTCCATACTGCCCCCAGTATAAGAAAAACAGCATGCATGGCTAATGTTGTGCATGACTTCATGTGTATAATAGGAAATATGCTGTGCATGACTTCATATGTATAGTAGGTATTGTATTTCTTGTCTTCTCAAGGGTGTAAGAGGAGGTAGAAAAGGGGAGAGAATTTGGAACTGAGAGAAAAAAGAAAGTAAGATTTCTGCTGTATTGTCAGCTGGTAGAACCTGAGGCAGCTGGTGGCACAGTGCATAGAGTACTGAGTCTGGAGTCAGGAAGACCTGACTTCAAATGTAGCCTCCAATACTTACTAAGCTGTGTGACCCTTGGCAAGTTTCTGTTTGCCTCAGTTTCCTCAACCGTATTTGCTTCAGTTTCCTCTACAGTAAAATGGGGATAATGATATGAGCTACCTTTCAGGGTTGTGAAGATCAAGCAAGATAATATTTGTAAAAGCACTTAGCACAGTGCCTGGCATATAGTAGGTGCTATATAAATGCTTGGTCCCTCCCTCTGCCCTAAGCTGAATAGGAACAGATGCTATATGGTGGTCACAGGCTCTTAAATGAGGAAATTTGAAATTTCAAGCATGAAGCCTCATGCTTGGCACATACATTCTCATTTGATCCTTACAACAACCCTGTGAAGTAGAGAGCAAATATTATCCCCATTTGACACCTGAACAAACTGAAACACATAGAGATTTAGTGATATTTTGGTTGTTAGGAGTTTATTTAACACATGCTGTGGACAGAACACAATACTAGGAGCTGGAAGAGATAAAAATTGTAGATAAGAAATGATCTTTATCTTCATTGAGCTTACCAAATAGTAAGAAAATATTCTAGACACACAAATTAATATAGAACTTATAGCTTAGTGAGAATATGGCATTTATACAAATAAGTATAATACAAATACACAAGTATGATACAAATTTACAAATATAATGCACATGCTAAGAGAGATGCAAGAAAATGCTCTGTGAGATAAATCTGTAAAATTCATTATTGAGTAGGAGGATGGATTGAGAAAGTTTCATGAAGGAGGCAGCATTTGAGTTGGGTTTCAATAGCTAGAAGAACATATAATCGAATTCACCTGATGGGAGGGAGACAGAAGACAGCCCAGGTACAGAGAATGACCCAGAAAAAGGCACAGGTAGAAAAGTACACAGGTATGTAAGGTACTTTGCAAACCTTAGCATGTTATATATTTATATCTATAGATATAGATATAAATAGATAGATAGTCATTCTTCCTATCATAGGTGATTTGCCCAAGTCTGTACAACCAGTATGTGTAAGGAGTGTGTAAGGAGTATATGGGGTGTTCAGGAGGACTAGCACTTCTGGTGTGAGGTCTTGCTTAACCCTTTTGAGGGCTGCTTATCCACCTTTGGTGTTTACCTGTCACCCATCTCTCACCTGTGGCTTCAAGAAGCTGTAGCATGTACAGGGGCCACACCCCAGTAAATCCTGTCTTGACAGATGTGCTAAACCAGGTTGAAGGTAGCTGACAGGTCTCAAATCCATTGGTGAATTGGGAGGGTGTCTTCCCTAAGCGTATAAAAGCTCATCTTCCCCCACCCCCAGAATAAGAGAACAGTTTGTTCCAACAGCCATGAAGGTGGCTGAAGTAGGTGCTGTGGAGCTCTTAGAGCTTGATCAGACATGGAAGAAGCCAAGGTCATCCACTGCATCCTGGGCCATCACCAGTCATCATGACTTTTGTCTTGCCACTGGATTTTTATGACACAGGAAGAGAGAGTGAGGCTGACGACTTTGTGCAGCTCTGCCTCACTTTAATCCAATTCATGCACCCAGTTAAGAAGTCACCCATGATATCATTGGACCTCTTTGAAAATGAAGGACAAACAGCAACAGTTAGTGGAGCCCAGGTTTTTTCACTCCAAGTCTTATTTTCTTTCCACTGCCTCACGCTGTCCTTATTACTCCTGTAATTTGGAAGTGGTGTTTCATTCATAAATACCCAGGTAATGTTATAAATGTAAAAACACTTTATTTAAATAGGACAGAATTTTAGACAGCCACAGAATTGTAAAACTTGAAAGCTGGAAGGAACATAGGAAGTCAGCTAACTTGACCTCATTTTACAGATAAAGCAGCTGAGAACCAGAGAAGTGAAGTAATTTGCTCAAGGTCACAAAGCTAATTAATGGCAGAGCCAGCCTTAGCATGAGTCATAAGACTCCTATACCAGGGCTTTTTCTACCATACATGTTATCTCTAGTTTTTGTAACAAAGTCCAAATTCATCAGAATTTTTAATATATATTTTATTTTTTCCCCAATTACATGTTAAAATAATTTTTAACACTTGGTTTTTTTAAATAATTTAAAAATTTTTTTTCCATATGCTTTTGAGTTGAAAAAGTTTTCTCCCTTTTCCTCCCCCCACCCTCCCCAAGACGGCGCACAATCTGATATAGGCTTTACATTTACATACCCATTAAACATATTTTCACATTAGTGAAGTTGTAAGTAAAAATTAAAACCAATAGGAGGAACCATCAGAAAGATGAAAGAAAACTCAACAGAAGGTAAAAATAAGTGATAGTGATTCGACTTCCATAGTTCTTTCTTTGGATGTGGACAGCATTTAACACTTGTTTTTTTAAAAAAAAACAAATGACAGTATCAAAGATCTAGAGAAAGAGAAATCAGAAGCCATTTAGTCCAACCCCTTCATTTTACTGATGTGGAGACTGAGTCTTAGGAATGATATGACTTGTCCAAGGTCACACAGGTATTAAGTATCAGAGTCAGGATTTGAACCCAGGTTCTTTGACTCCAAAGTAAGTAGTACTTTTTATTTTTATTGGCTTCTTACCAGTTTCAGATTTTCTTTTACCTTGTGTTTTTTGAGATAAAGCCTATTTTGTACCTTCTGTTAAGGCAGTTATAATGTTAGTGATTAATCATAGTTAAATTTGAAGTATTAACAGCAATAAATGTTTGGGGAATTGAATTAAATAGTTTAAATAGTCCAGTGGTAAACAGTTAATAATATAATGTGATATAATGGTTAAGTATTGCCTGGTATCATCTTCCATATTACATTTTAAAATGATTAATTTAAATGCACATTTCTTTCCTGAAACAGCTGGTCTATAAACAGAGTTGTCTATATACAGCTGAAGCATTTATTTTGCCTAATGCTCTGGGCTCAGAAATGCTGAACTATCATAAACTGTGATCCCACTAAAAAATAAGTTAGGCTTCCTCATCATTGCTTTTTTCCCTTGACTGCTTTAATTTTTTTCTAGTTGCGATTCAGTGCTTAGAGACAGTTTTCAAGATCAGCCCAGAAGATACTCACCTTGCTGTACCACAGCCGCTGACAGAAATGTTCACAAACTCCTTCTGTAAGGTAAGCTTGATATGATCTTCTCTTCCTTTGTGACTGATTTAAGTGTAACTAGAATTGATGCTGTGTGTATGGCATAATTGATGAGTCAGATGTTTGGGTAACAAAGTACTCCCTGAGTGTGTTAGATAGATCCTATGGGTACCATTTAGTGCCCTACAGCGGTAGTTAACTGAGTTTCATACATTTGGGGATGAATTCTCTCTCTCTCTCTCTCTCTCTCTCTCTCTCTCTCTCTCTCTCTCTCTCTCTCTCTCTCTCTCTCTCTCTCTCTCTCCCTCTCCTCTCTCTCCCTCTCTCTCCTCTCTCTCCTCTCTCTCCTCTCTCTCCCCTCTCTCCCCTCTCTCCCCTCTCTCCCTCTCTCTCCTCTCTCTCCTCTCCCTCTTCCCTCTCTCTCCCTCTCTCTCCTCTCTCTCCCTCTCTCTCCCTCTCTCTCCCTCTCTCTCCCTCTCTCTCCCTCTCTCTCTCTCTCTCTCTCTCTCTCTCTCTCTCTCTCTCTCTCTCCCTCTCTCTCCCTCTCTCTCCCTCTCTCTTTCTCTCCCTCTCTCTCTCCCCCTCTCCTTTCTTCTTTCCTTCTTTCTCTTTTTCTCTCTTTCTCCTGTCTTTCCTTTTCTTCCCCTCCCTCCCTTCCTTCATCTATCCATCTTCCTTCCTTCCTTCCTTCCTTCCTTCCTTTCTTTCTTTCTTTCTTTCTTTCTTTCTTTCTTTCTTTCTTTCTTTCTTTCTTTCTTTCTTTCTCTCTCTCTCTCTCCCCTTCCCTCCCTTCTTCCTTCCTTCCTTCCTTCCTTCCTTTCTTTCTTTCTTTCTTTCTTTCTTTCTTTTTTCTTTCTTTCTTTCTTTCTTTCTTTCTTTCTTTCTTTCTTCTTTCTTTCTTTCTTTCTTTCTTTCTTCCTTCCTTCCTTCCTTCTTTCCTTCCTTTCTTTCTTCCTTCCTTCCTTCCTTCCTTCTTTCCTTCCTTTCTTTCTTTCTTTCTTTCTTTGTTCTTCCTTTCTTCCTTCTTCCCTCCCTCCATCTCTCTTTCTTCCTTCCTTCTTTCTCTTTCTTTCTTTCTTTCTTTCTCTTTCTTTCTTTCTTTCTTTCTTTCTTTCTTCTTTCTTCTTCTTTCTCTTTCTTTCTCTTCCATTTCTCCATCTCACCCTTTCCCCCCACTGCCCCCCTTCCTCTTGCCTCTCCTTTATCCTCCTCTCTCCTTCCCTCCTTCCCTCCCTCTCTTCCTCCCTTTTCTTTTTCTTCTCTCTCTTTGCCATTGATTGGGAGGGAAGCCATACTAGGCTTCTAAGGAGCCCAGAGCACTTTCATATTATTTATATTCCTAATTTATAAAACAGATGGATTTTTCTAAAACATAGAGCACAACTACATGAAAAAAATAGTTTAGTTAAAATTGGTTCTAGCTCAGTGAAGTCACAGATATTTGAAGTATTAAAGTATAGGTAAAATGGGGACATTGAACAGCCACAGGGAATGATGTTCACACCATTCCTGGTGCAGGTTTCATCTCATCTTATTGTTGATAAGAACTAACAGACAATTAGAATAAATGTGTATAACTTACACTGGAATCCAGGTTTCCTCACTCATAGTCCAAAGAATTCTTTATGTAAGTCCTATTCCAAAGCTTTTTTCACTTCCAACTCTTTTGGAAACAGACTATAAAACAATGAAAATTTCTGATGTTGGCCTTGTTTAGTACAAAAGCCTGTTCCCTATTCCAGCTCATCCTTTAGCTCATTAGACCTCGACTCCTGTACTCTGGGGATGGTTTACTTATAGCTTAGGTATTGGCTCTCTCCAGGTCTGGGTCTCTCCAAAGTAAGGGTAACCATTATACAATATGAATCAGGTATGGGACAGGCATTTCTTACACACTAAAGAAATACTAAGTAAAGAATATTCATAAGCATGCATTTGACTTTTGTCAAACTTAAAATAGGATTCAGTAACTTAAAACTAGAGTTGCAGTCTTTGTGGGAGGCTTATACTAAAAACATCAGAACACATTTTGTGGGTGTGGCAATAAGGCACTTTATATTTCACCTCGCTTTTGTACTGGCATGACAATGTCCTGACATCCTCTTGTTTATGGTTATCTTCTCTGATAATCGAGAAAATTATCACTGATGGACCTGTGGACTTCTCAGACCCACAAGGTTGTCTCAGAGCCTGGGCAGATCTTTCTTGGAATGGATGTTCAACCACATACTCACTCACTGTAGGAAATAAAGTGGAAAAAAAGCATTCAGGGTACCGGGTGTGGGTTTATTTACTTAAGTCCATACTCAGTTTGGAACTGGTACAGCTGAGACTGAAGACTGGCCTATCCCCTACCTGGAAGTCTCAGGGTTAATGATGCCACCAACAAAATCAAAAGAAGAGAGTGAGCTAGAAATTGTTAATTAACATAGCACCTTACCCCTCTGCTATAGCCATGAGGTATTGGAGGATCAGTCATTCAGTAAGCATTTATTAAATATTTACTAAATGCTAAGCACTGTGCAAGCTGGGAGGGGAGGGCACAAAGAAAAAGCAAAAAACCTAGTCTCTACTCTCAATATGCTCACATTCTGATGTGGTGATAAATACAAATAATTATATACATACAAGATATATGCAGTATAAATGAGAGGCATTCTCACAGGGAAGGGACTAGGAGTGTAAGGGGACCTAGAAAGGTCCCCAGGAGAAGGTGAGCCTTGCAGGAAGCTAGAGGAACCAGGAGGTGGAGGTGAGGAGGGACAGCATTCCAAGCATAGGTGACTGCTAGGACAAATACTTGGAGTTAGGAGATACAATGGAATGTGTAAGGCCAGTATAGCTGGATGGTGCAGGGCATGGAGTCAGATAGTCAATAAACATTTATTAAATGTCTATTGTGTGCCAGGTACTATGCTAAGTGCTGGGCATGCAAAGAAAGGTAAAAGACAGTCCCTGATCTTGTGGAGCTCTTATTTTAATGGGGAAAACAACATGAAAATAATTATATGCAAACAAGATATATACAGAATAAATTGGAAATAATCTGCAGAAAGAAGGCACTGGAATTAAGAGGGATTAGGAAAGGCTTCCTGTAGAAGATGGCATTTTAGTTGGGACCTGAAGAAAGCTGGGGTAGCCAGGAGTCAGTGATGGGGAGGGAGAGTATTCCAGGTATGGGGGACAGCCACTGAAAATGCCCAGAGTCAAGAGATGGAGTGTCTTACATGAGAAAAAGTGAAGAGGCCAGTGTCATTGAAAAGCATAGTTCATGGTGAGTATTAGGTATAAGAGGACTGGAAAGGTGAGGTGGGCAGCAGATTATGAAGGACTTTGATCCTAGACATGATAGGAGCCCAGAGTTTAGAGTCATTCTTACTCAGTGGTTAGTCTTACTCTTCAGGAAGATCATTTTGACGGCTGGGTGGAGAGGACAGGAATGAGGAGAGACTCCTGGTAGGCAGACCCACCAGCAGGTTGTTGCAACGGTTGAGGCATGAAGTAATGAGGTCTTATACCAGAATGGTGGCAGTGTCAGAGGAGAGAAGGAGATATGTTTTGAGAGAAGTTATGAAAGTAAAATTGACAGATCTTGGCAACAGTTTGAATGTGGGTGTGGGCGTGAAAGAGAGTGATGAGTTGACAGTGTTACCTAGGTTGTGATCCTGAGAGACTGAGAGGATGAGATGCCCTTGCCAGTAATAGGGATGTTTAGAAGAAGGAAGGGTTTAGGGAGAAAGATAACAAGTTCAATTGTGGACATGCTGAGTTTATGATGTCTACAATTCATCTAGTTGGAGATGTCCAATAGGCAGTTGGAAATTGGAGACTGGAGGTCAACAGAGAGGTTAGGGCTGGATAAGTAGATTTGAGAATCATCAGCATAGAGATGGTAATTTAACCCATGAGAGCTGATGAGACCACCAAGTGAAATAGTATAGAGGGAGAAGACAAGAGGATGCAGGACAGAGCCCTGTAGAATACCAACAGTTAGTTGTTCGTGTGTGTGTGTGTGTGTGTGTGTGTGTGTGTGTGTGTGTGTGTGTCCTGGATGAAGAATCAGCAAAGGAGACTGAGAAGGAATAGGCAGATAGGTAGGATGAGAACCAAGAAAGAGCAGTATATGAACTTTAGAAAGATCGCTTTGACAGCTGAATGGCAGATGAATTGGAGAGTGGTGAAGAGAGTTGAAGCAGGGAGATCAATAAAGGGCAGTAGCCTTTATTATTATTTTTAATAGCATTGTCCAGGCGAGAGTTGATAAAGGCTTATACAAGAATGTATAATAGCTTTGTGATTTAGAGAGGCAGATGTATAGGAAAGATGTTGTAAGGGTAGAAATGACAAGATTTGACAACAGACTGGCAGCTAGGTAGCACAGTGGATACAGTGCCAGGCCTGGAGTCCGGAAGACCTGAGTTCAAATGCAGCCTCAGACACTGACTAGCTGTGTGACCCTGGGCAAATTATTCTACTTGCCTCACCTGTAAAATGAGCTGGAGAAGGAAATGGCAAAATACTCTAGTACCTTGCCAAGAAAACCCCAAATAGGGTCACAAAGAATTGGACACAACTGAAAACAACTGAACAACAACAATTAAAGCTCATGAGAGAGACTAAGGCTGAACATAGACCTGGGAATGATCTGCACAGACATGATAGTTGAACTGAGGGACCACTTAGAGTTTGGTATGCCATATCAAAATGCCAAACTGTTATAGCATTGAGTTAGAAGTAGCTAGCTAGAAGCAGCTACAGAATTCATCAACTCTGCTGTATTGGGCCTGAGGCCTGGCCTACCTGACAGAAGACAGACAATGCTTCTGCTTTCTCCTTCTTCTTAGCTGCTATCACTGCCAATGTGGTGAAGCTCACTGAAGAATATAACTTTTCCTAAGCTCCTCCATGCCCAAGTTGTCTTTGTTGCCTGAGAATTTCTTAATAGGGAGGTCATTGTAATTGCATGTCATAAAACTGGTAAGAAATGTGGCTGTCTGCTAGCTATTTATCCACTTTCTTCAACTCTTTCTTCATGGGATTTCTGTAATGAAAGCACAGTGGTTATTTGTGTTTTCATAAATAATTCTTTAGGAGATCATAGAAAAGGGAAAAGGATCTATTTGTACAAAAATATTTACAGCAGCCCTTTTTGTTGTGGCAAAGAATTGGAAATGATAGGGATACTCATCAATAGGAGAATGACTGAACAAGTTATAATATATGATTATGATGGAATACTGTTGGGCTATAAGAAATGATGAGGGGAATGGTTTCAGAAAAACCTGAGAAGTCTTCCATGAGCTGATGCAAAGTGAAGTGAGAAGAACCAGGAGAACATTGTACATAATAACAATGATATAGTAGTGATCACATGTGAAAGACTTAGCTACTCAGATCAAGACAGTGATCCAGGCCAGTTCCAAAGGACCCATGATGAAAAATGCTATCCTTGTCCAGAAAGAGAACTGATGAATTCTGAGTGCAAATTGAGCATATTTTTCTACCTCCTTTATTTTTCTTTTTTGAATGTGTTTTCTCTTGCAACATGGCTAATATGAAAATATGTTTTGTATGACTTCACATGAGAGTCAAGATCATATTGCTTGCCTTCTCAAAAGGTGGGAAGGGGAGGGAGAGAATTTGGAACTCAAATTTTTAAAAAATGAATTCAAAAATTTCAAAAATGTAATTGGGAAATATTTAATGAAATAAATAAAAAATATGTTAAAATAAATAAATACTCTGTAGTATTTTTATTTTAAAATAACTTCATTAAGTATGTTTGTTACCAGAGGATGATTACAAAGTCACCAAACATATGCCTGAAATTGAAGAATTTAGAAAATTATTTATAACAGAAGAAAGTGCACTTGGTTGTAAAGTAGGTCATCTTATTTTTAAGATTTTTTGGTTCTGCTCTTCCCCTTCTTTTAAGCTCAGACAGTGGTTAGGCCTTTGGTTAGATGAAGTGAAGTTAGTTTCCAAGTCATATGATGGTCAAATTTACCTCCAGCTCATGAGAGGTGGTTTTTAGATGAGTTTCCAAAGCTTGCATTACATCATTAAAATGGAACATTACACCTTCTAGGATCTAGAAAGAGTAAGTTATAATTTAGTTTCTAATATCAACTTTTAAATATTTTAAAATATTTTAAATTTAAATATTTTAAAAAATAAAATATTGCTAAAAAAATATTGCTAACATCTGACTTGAAGTTAAAAAAAAACAACAATCTTTTTATCCCCTACTCTGTCTAGGTTTGGTAGAGATTTAGAACTAAAACAGCAAACCCCCTAAATATTGAAATATTCAGGGCAGGGATGCAATGCTGTACCAAGCTTATTTTCATCCTGTGTAGCTGAAGGCAATTTTAACTGATTGCAGCTGTTAGAGTCTCCTATTAGGCTTTCAGCAGAGTTATATTATGCTTTTTAAAAAAAATTCCTTCAGTTTACCTGCTTGACTTAAAATGAGAACAAAAACATAATGGTTTATCTAAAAGCCCAATAATGCGATTCAGGTGTTTTATTAATAATCCTTAACTTCTAGTCTGACAAGCATTTATTAAATGCCTACTTATGAGCAAGGCGCTGTGCTGGGAACTGAGAATACAAAAACAAAACCAATGACAGTCCCTGCCCTCAAGGAGGTTATGTGAGTCAGACATGAAATAGGTAATATTTATAGCATTTTAAAAATTATATGTACTGTAATTTTAATAATACTGAGTCACATTTGTTGGATTTATTATAAAAAAGCATTATAATTATTCATAAACCATATTTTCTAGAGAATTATAGATTTATGTACCTGAAAAGGTGAACCAAAGATAAAAATAAACATGAAACCTTACATGTAAGCAGGTGGTGAAATGCAGGCTCTTCCACGTTCCCCTTGAGATACTGGTTTGTATATGTTTGTGATATTTAACAGAGCAGAGTGTTGAGTATCTCTCAGTTGGATCTAGGTCTGATTATAAAAAATCTGAATAAAATAGTAGGCATTGATACCATGGTATGATTTCTATAGTGGTGGGTGCTGTATGATCAGAATCTTTAATTTGGCATTGTTTTGATAGAGGTTCTGTTGGATGAATCTTTGTTGGCTGAAATGGAAATCACATTGATTTTTTAAAAAAATGTTTCAGAATGACATTTTGCCGCTTTCAAATTCTTTGCCTGAAGATGTGGGGAAAGCAGATCAATTGAAGGATGAAGGTGAGTAATTTCTAGACAAAATTGCTTTTCTCAGAGCCTCTGTTGGAACTGACCCTGAAGTATTAGAAAAGGAATAAGAGGAAGAGTCTTGGGATGCTTTCCTGGGCCACACCACTGTGGCTGACTTATTAGCCAATCAAAATTCATACCAGAATGTCAGAGCAGAAATGTACTGGATATGGCCAGAGTTGAGACAAGACATTTCTGTGTCCAAAGCAGGGTTCAAAAATTGAATTTTCTTTGTGTTACTGTCCATTAGAGGCTTTAAGCATTCACTTTAACCAGAAATTTGATTTACAATAATATAAATATCTATATGGTATGAAGAATGGAATTTTCTGGCATCAAAATATGTGCATTTAGATGAAATAATATTTTAAAAGGTCCTTTGTGGCCTCTTGAATTTTGAACCACTGCCAGCTTCCCACATTGTTTATTTCTTTTTTTTGTGAGGCAATCGGGGTTAAGTGACTTGCCCAGGTCACATACCTAGTAAGTGTCAAGTGTCTGAGGTGGGATTTGAACTCAGATCCTCCTGACTCCAAGGCTGGAGCTCTATCTACTGCGCCATCTAGCTGCCCCCAACATTGTTTATTTCTAGTCTCACCTTTGGTTATAGTAAAGTAGAGTGCTGGACCTAGGGTCAGAAAGACTCCTCTTCTTGAGTTCAAATCTGGCCTTAGGCACTTACTAGCTGGGTGACCCTGGGCAAGTCACTTAACCCTGTTTCCTCATCTGTAAAATAAGCTGGAGAAGAAAATAGCAAACGACTCCAATGTCTTTGCCAAGAAAAGCCCAAATGGGGTCACAAAGTGTTGGACACGACTGAAAACGACAGAAGAGCAACAACAACAACAAACAAAAAAGTCTATACAGTGAGAGGTGATTAGTGGGCTATACGGTGTGTCTTCTTTTGAAAAATTAATTATAGGAAAATACAACCTTATATAACAAATAGCTTAGAATTTGATTATTTGCACCATATAGTAAAATCTTTGATAGTTTGTTAGGAATTTTCTGGTAATGATAATTGGCTTTGTAATGACATAGAGGTCCTGTGAGATCTTTACAGTAAGAGCGTTGGAATAGATGACTTCATAGGTCCCTTCTAGTTCTACATGCATGATTTAAGATGACCTCTTCATCAAATGAAGCTAACTTTTTGTTCAACATAGTTTTGAATTTAAGTGTTTTACTGTATTCTTATTCTTTAAAAATCAGTAATACATATATAGTGTCTGAGGTAAATGATGATTATTAGCTAAAATAGTTGTGTGAAGAGTTTTGATTTCCCGTCCATGATGAATAAGAGAGGTTATCATAGAATAAATATTTGCTTTGCAGAATACAAATATAACAACAAATAATATTTATTAAATGCCTATGATCTCAAATTAGTCCCTTACACAAAAACTTGTCTTTTAAGCACTTTTTTGGGGTGGTATTGTATGGTTTTGGAACATTGAGGTACCTGAAGAATCAAAGCTGCAGATGATCCAAAACAAATTGGAGAAATGTGTGGTGATTGCAAGTAGTCCAGGTTACAAAGTATGATCCAAGCATAAGTAGTGAGAGATACTTTTTACATAAAGTATAAAATTAGAAAAGCCAGTGTATAAATACAAGAGGTCCAACCAGGATGTGGATTAAGTCAGTCCTGGTAACTTTCTAGGAAGAGTCAAAGATGATCTAAAAGTTATAAATGTGAGAGGTCCTGTGAATGGTGTTTAGGTTAGGAGGAGCAGATTTAGGAGAAAGATCATATGGTCACTGGTGAATAGGAACAGGCTGGTGGGGTATCCAAGGAGAGCATTCCTGAAGGCAATTTGAGATGTGTTCTAGAGCTCAAAGAAAAGGTCAGCAACTGGAGGTTTAGGTTTGGGAATCATGTGCATGGAGATGGTAATCAGAACCATGGGAGTGAATGAAATTGCCAAGGGAGAGAATATAGAGTGAAAAGAGACAAAAACTAACAACAAAGAGTCCAGAAGAAAATGAGTCAGTGAAAGAGAGAGGAGAAGTAATTAGAGAAAGGTGGAGAGCTAGGAGGGTGTGATATTTCTGAAGCCAAGGGAGGAAACCAGTATTCAGAAGGAGAGTGATAATCAACCATCTCAAAGCTTGAGAGTGGTCAGGGATAGAAAAAAGGTCACTGGACTCCCAATTGGGATATGACCTTTGAGCAAGGAAAATAGTTTCTATGATGACCATAGTAATACAAAGGAAAACAATTTTGAAGAACTTAAGTAAGAACCCTGATCAACACAGTGACCAATCTTGACTGTAAATCATGACTTTAGAAGGCTGACAATGAAACATGTCTCATACCTCTTAACAGAGAGGTGATGGATTGGAGGTGCAGAATGAGACATGGATCTTCAGACATGGTTAACCTGTTGATTCCTTTTTTTAAAAAATACACTTACTTGTTCCAGGGGAGGAAATTTTAATGCTTAGTGAGCGTGATGTAAAAAGAAGGAAAGTATTAATTAAACTTTTAAGAATACACAGAAGAAAGTAGAAGGAAGTTTGTAGGGGGAGGGACACAAACAGGATAATTTGTTGCTACCTTTTCAAATTGAAGTATGCTTAAAATACTACATGTAACATAAGTTGTAAGGTTCACATAAAATCTTTTTTGTACTTCAAATGTTGAAATTTTTTTGTTACTAATTCATAAGAAAAAGAATTTTTTTTGAAAGATGACCTTAAGATGATAGTTTCAGTACAATGACTTGTTCAGCAAGCTTAACTATTAAAGGAAGCCAGAGAGACTGGACAATAGCTGAATAGAATGGAAGGGCAAGGAGATGATATTTTTAAAAGATTGATGGGGAAAAACCAAGTGGATGAAAAACAGCTATTGTTCGTGTTGTCATATATAGATGGATGGTCAGCTCATCAATTTAGTCTATTAGTACATAGACCTTGGACTGAAATTGCTTAAAGACGATAAACTGGCCCCAGAATTGAACTGAAAAGAGAAAGGGATAGGATTGTTTTTGGGAAATTGCATGGTGCTCTTAGTCACCTCAAGCTACTTCCTGAAAAAAAAGACATCTTTTTTTCAAATCAGTATTCTTCTAGTGGATTTAGATGGTTTCAAGTCATGGAATACAAAGAAGAATTAAAACTTCTTGTCACTTAAAAGATAAAGCACATACTGAGTGTGAGTAGGATGCATATTACAAATAAGCAATGGTGCAGGAGAAGCATCATAAAAGATAATCAGAAAAATGTATTAGTGGAAGGAGAAGGAAGGCCAGCCATGTGTGAGTGAGAACTGATAGATGGCTTTGGTGCTCCATTAGTGTCAATGCAGTGTCAAGGGGTTTTAGAGGATAGTGCTCAATAAGTTGGATGGACCTCCTTGTGGAGTACTTATAAGAGGTCGTGGATAATAATGACATAGAAAGAGAAGGCGTGGATGGGTCTTGTTCTGCCTACATAGATGAGCTCCATTAAAGTATCAAGGAGACCTTAGTATTTGATTGGGAGAAAAAAACTCCATTGGAAGGGAAGAGCCTGATGATTCATGAGAGAAGCAGAAAGTATTGTTAGAATGTGTATCTGAAGGAGGCAAGAAAGGAAAGAATCAAATCACAGGTAGTGGGATAGCTTTAGTTCAGGGATTCATGAAATTTAGAAAAAAGATCTTGAGTATTTATTTCAATATACTTGGTTTCCCTTGTAATCCTGTATATTTTATGCATCCAAAAGCATGATTCTGAGAAGAGGTCCACAGGCTTCACTAAACTGCCAAAGGGGTCAGTGACACACCAAATTGGTTAAGGATCCCGGCCTTAATGTGTAGTAGGAATAGTTTTTCCTTTTTGACCAGAAGGAAGGAGGAAGAGTGAAAGTGATGATACTGAGAGAGTGCGATTGAGCATGACAGCAGAGTATACAAGTTTGGAAACAAGTTACTGTGGTCAGTAAGATAAGAAGTCCTTAAGAATAGAGGAGAAATTAGGTGGCACAGTGAATAGAGTGCTAGACCTGGAGTCAGAAAGACCTGAGTTCCGATCTAGCCTCAGGTACTTACTTAGCTATGTGACCCTGGGCAAATCAAACCTTGTTTGCCTCAATTTCCTCATCTGTAAAATGAGCTGGAGAAGGAAATGGCAAACCACTCCAGTATCTTTGTCCTGAAAACCCCAAATGGGATCATGAAGAGTTGGATACAACTGAAACAACTGAACAACAACAACTTGTTGAGTAGCAACAAGGGACCAGATGATGTCACATAACTTGAATTTTTTAATTGAGTGAAGTCAACTTGATTTTGTGACTTTTGTCCAGCAATGCCCAATAGCCATGGAGCAAGAGCTGGAAAACTCATTTGTAACTGGTTTTGCAAGGATAAGGATTTGATTGTTGTGAACATCAGAAGGACAGAGGAAAGCATTCAGATTGTAATAGCTGGTGAACCAAAAATATTCACGGATCAAGGCTGGATGTGGGGACAAGTGAACACAAGAGATATGCTAGGAGAATCTAGAAGAATTGAAGAGCTTTTTCTCTCTTTCTCACCTCCCACAGCCATTGCCAAATCATGTCAGTTCTGCCTCCCCAATGTTGCTCTTATCTGTCCTATTCTGCTTTTTTACACTGCTAATACTATAAGGCCCTTATCAGTCTTCACCTGGGCCATTAGTTTTCTAACTTGAACCACCTTCATTCTTTCCAATCCACAATTCAAAGAGCAAAAATAATCTTCCTATTACATAGGAACCATTTTACTCACTTGCTCAAAAATCTTAAGTCATTCCTTATTGTCTGGAAAATAAAACACAAAATAATTACTCAGGTATTTAAGGCCTTTCACAATATGACTCTGACTTCTCCTAGCCTTATTTCTCATTACTGCCCATGACTATATTACAAACCAGCTGGTTGGCTGACTGTTTCCTAAACTTGTGATGCCATCTTCTATTTCTGTGCATTTGCAAAGCCTTTCCTCGATCCCTGAAATGCATTCCCTTAGACTTCTTCCCTAT